GAAACCTGTAAACCGAGGATAATTGTAATTTACCACCAGCATAAATTTTCCCAGTTATGTTTTGCAAATTACTGATACTCCCAAAGCTTGTAATCAGAACATCTCTGGCTTTTAAAAGCTGTTTCCAAATCCAAGAGGCATTTGACTTAATTTGAATCCGCCAGATATTATTTGACTGTAAATAATTCTCGTGCAACCATTTAATCCATAAGAGGTCCTTCTTGAGATGAATCATCCACAACAATCTAAGAGCAGCTGCGTAATTCCATGTTCTTGCTGAGAAAACACCTAATCCTCCAAACTTTTTCTCTTGACAAATCTTTGTCCAGGAAACTAAAGGCATTTTGTGATTCCAGAGAAAATCTGAACACATCCTATCAATTTTGCTTAGGATTTTATAAGGTAAAATGTAATTATTTGTCCAGTAGATGTGGATACCCAATATGACAGATTTTATCAATTGTAACCTCCCAGCATTGATAAAGTCTTCCTCTTTTGCCAATTTTAAAATTGCTCAGATATTTTCCTCATTAAAGGAGAACAGTCCATCCAAGATAACCTTTTTGTTATGAGAGGCATACCCAGATACCTTACTGGCAAGACACCTTCGGAAATGTTTAGATATGAGCAGATTTGATGCTTTAAATTTTCACTAATACCACTCATATATACAGAACATTTATTGGGGTTAGATTCCAGACCCGATACTCTACTAAAATCTTGCAAGCATTGGTATAGCTTTGTAATAGAGTTCATGTCAGCTCTTCCAAAAAGAAGTAGATCATCAGCAAAGAACAAGTGTGTAATGTTCAACCTAGAGCATTTAGGATGAAATTTGAACAAATTGTCATTTTTGAGAGTATTAAGCTTTCTTGACAGATATTCCATGCCTAGCACAAAAAGGTATGGGGAGAGGGGATCCCCTTGTCTTAGTCCTCTAGCCCCATGAAAATATCCATGGAGAGATCCATTGAGAGATAGGAAAAATTTTGAGGTAGTGATACATTCCATAATCCAATTAATCATAGCAGTTGGAAACCCCAGACCTGACAACATTGCCTCAATAAAGCTCCAATTTATGGTATCAAAGGCCTTTCTCAAGTCTATGTTGAGAATGGCTCTAGGTGAAGACTGTTTTCTCCCATAGTGCTTTATAAGTTTATGAGCAAGCAAGATATTATTTGAGATAATTCTACCTTTTACAAAAGCACTTTGAGCATCACTAATAAAAAAACCCATTACTTTCTGAATTCTGCAAGCAATTATTTTGGCAATAATCTTATAGACACAATTGCAACAAGAGATTGGTCTAAAATCAGATGGAGATTTGAGATTGAGTACCTTAGGAACCAATGTGATTGAGGTAGAATTGAGAGTACCTAGAAGTTTGCCAGAATAGAAAAATTCCTCTACTGCCAGATAGAGATCCTCTTTGATAATATCCCAAGCTGCTTTATAGAATGAGGCATTAAAACCATCTGGTCCAGGGGCTCTGTCACCAGCCATTGAGAAAATAGCATTTTTTATCTCTTCTCTTGTGATAGGAAGACCCAGCTCATTACTTTGAATTGAAGAAAGGATCGGGTCATTTGCTATTACTTCAGGGTCAGGCAAATCAACAGGAGTTGAAACACCCAGGAGATTATGGTAATATTCAATGAATTCCTTGATGATATCAGACATTTCAGTGATCCTTACACCATTTTCAGTGTAGAGAGATAATACTCTATTATGGTGTCTTTTAGCTTTCATAATAGAGTGAAAAAATTGAGTGCATTTGTCACCATATATTCCCTATTTAATGTTTGCTTTTTGTCTGTAGAAAGAAGTTTCACAATTGAGCAATCTCACATACTTTTCCAGACATTCTTTCTCTTTTGAAACCAGCAGGGGGTTGAAAAGATCACTGCTCATATGCTCCTGGACCTCAACTAGATCATTTTTAGCTCTTAATACTTGCTCACTTATATTCATGAAATGCCTTTTATTCAACTCCTTTAGAACTGGTTTGATATTCTTGAGCTTGGTATGGAATATATACATCTTGTATCCTGTAACAGCTTGATCCCAAACTGATCTAACAGTTGAGAGGAAATCAGGGTGACTAATCCACATCTTAAAAAACTTGAAAGGCCTTTTACCCGCAATATCCTCATCTTCAATTGTGATTAAAGCAGGGGAGTGATCAGAACAGTTTGGAGTCAAGAATTCACTGGCTTGAATTGTATTTTTGAATCCAATCTTCATTAACCAGAACTCTATCAAGTCTACACCATATTCTTGTGTCAATATCCTGTTTATTGCACCAAGTGAAGAAACATCCAGTAGTCTTGAGATGCACAAGTTGACAGGAAGAGATGAAATCTTGAAAATCTTCTGTTTCTGCATCAGTTACTAAAGATCCACCAATTTTCTCATTGTTGTCCATAATAGTGTTGAAATCCCCTCCAATGATCCAAGGACAGGAAACATTTTGTTTAAATGCCAAAATGTCTTGCCAAAGAGATTTTCTTCCAGAGATATCATTGAGAGCATATACCACAGTGATTAAACATGATAATCTGCAGTCTTTTGACTCAATAGCACATGTTATAAATTGATTAGAGGATCTTAACAGCTGCACTGAAAGAATGTCACTATCCCAAAGAATCCAGATCCTAGCATTATTTGCTTGATGACAATTAGAAAACCAGTGCCAATCTTTGGCCACTTTATTTGCAATAGAATGAATTTTTCCACTGACTACCTTAGTTTCCAGGAGGGCTACAAAAGGAAGCTTATATTGGAAGATTAAATGCTTCACCATCATGTGCTTAGAGGATTTGTTAAATCCTCTAACATTCCAAATAGCTAAATGCATTAAAACTTTAGACCCCCCCCTGTCAATACTAGATGGGGCAAAGTCATGGCCTTGGGCTGATATTTATAGGCCTCGGGTGCGGTTATTTGGATGAGAACAAGTGATTTGGCTCTATCTTCAGTTAACAATAGCCTAATCACGTTTGGGGATGATATCAAGTCAGTTAGGAACCCCTAGAACAGATAAATCATGTAAAAACCGCTTTAAAAACCGCGCGACGGACTGCGCGACGGACAGATCCGACCCGCGCTTGCACGGGTCGGTCTGTTCCGTTCCGCGCTGGCGCGGGTCTGGCGCTTTTCCTTCCCGGAGTTGTTCTTTTTTTTGCTGCTTCATGTATTTGGTCGACTTGTTGACTTGTACGCCTCGTTGCAGGACTGACCGTCGAACGCGTGTTGGTTGACGTACGCGTGTTAATTGACGCGCATGAACTGGATAACGTGCGCGTGTTGACCGACGCGCACTAACTGATTGACGCGCGCGTGTTGACCGACGCGCGCGAGCTGATTAATGCGCGCGTGTTGACCGACGCGCGCGAGCTGATTGACACGCACGAGCTGATTGACGCGCGCGTGTTGACCGATGCGCGTGAACTGATTGACGCGCGCGTGTTGACCGACGCGTGCGTGTTGACTTAGTGAGCCTTCTTGACTCGTCCAGTCTTTGTTTTGTGTTGCATGCGGGAGCTTATAGGCAATTTTAGACGCCTACAAGTTCTAATATTTAGTTCCACATGACTACCTCCCGGAAGTTCTTAGGTTTAAAGATTACAAGTAATACATAGCGGACAACATGGAAACGTATATAGCTAGCCAAAGATCATATTTCTAAGTATTCGCTTAATTATGCAGTTTATGGACATATTGGATAAGTAGGAATTGTAAATTATGGGATGCTTCTTTAAGTGTTTTCTACATTAATCTATTATAAGGAAGTTTTCTACAATTTTCACTTTCGTGGTAATTTTCTTTTGAAATGATATTTTTTCTAATAATATAAAGCGAAAATTTTATAGTGAAAGATTTGAGAGAGAAATTTCCACAGCATGGCGTGGGCATATGATGCTACTAAAGTCTATTATGAAGGTGACACTGGCCAGTCACCTCATTAAACCGTGTAATACAAAAACACAAACGGCGACCTTGACTTGTATAAGTCTTTTAAGAGTGTCATTTTCTTGCTTGTGACTACAAAGGACAGATATTTGATTTTCTTTCCGTTGATCCAAGAAGACTTCAGAAGACTATATGCAGTAAAACAGGGTTTTGGATTTTCTCTATTCACACAAATGTATTACAATTCCAACATCATTTCTTTCACGTAATTGAAATCACTCCGCTGGCAAATATGAGAGAAAAGTCTTCTTACGTTTTACCTGTACCATATAGTGATTTCCAAAAAAAAAAGGGAAAAAAAATCGAGCGTATTTACAAGGTATGTTAAAGTTTCAGTATTTATAAAACTACCAGACAAGTCATCAACTTTAGGACTCAACCAATCATCCTTGGATAGGCTAGTTTGTAATTGTAATGTTAAAAAAAAAACATTAAACCAATCAAATTCTCACTCACTATATCCATCCAACGAGGTTGAAAACTTGTTGATTTTTGGTATTTTCTTTCTTATTTTTAAAATTGATGATTTAGGGTAGTTTTTGCAGATAAACACGATTTCAAAGAAGTATATTTTACATAACAAAAACATCCCCTATATAAGTACTACGAAGTTTTGAACTCAGCTATTCATCACTTGAGCAAAGCGAACACCAAACGAAAAAAACATGACCAATCTCTTGTATCTTTTCCTTCTCGTCCTCCTCCGCTCCGGCTTCAGCTCCGGCGACGCCATCTTCAACAGCTGCGGCGGTTCTAACTACACTTCCAATAGCAAATACAAATCAAACCTCAAGCAACTATTCAACATCCTAACCTCCACCCACTCCACCTTCACCGCCAACACCACCGGCTCAAGCCACGGTGTGTACGAACAAACTGCGAGCTCCGTATACTCTAACCTCCGCTTCTTCTCCTCACTCGACTACACCGGCAGTGGGATACTGAAATCAACACCCAGAATGTCACCGGTAGGTTCAAGACTTCATTCCGGCTGCAGAAGAAGCTTCTGGACGAAATTGACAACTACGCCGCCATGTTCGCCACAGGGACTGCGACGAACGGGAGCGGCGACGGCGCCGTCACCGTGAACGGACTGGCACAGTGCACGAGGGACCTGTCGGATGACGGGTGCAGCCAGTGCTTGCAGCAGATACGGGGCATGTACGCGGGTTACGAAGCGAGGCAAGGGGGCAGGGTGCTCGCCAAGAGCTGTAATTTTAGGTATGAGATCAATCAGTTTTATCAAGGGAAGCGGGATGTTGTGCTTAATCTGACGACTCCGATGAAACCGCCGACTCCGCCGCCCGCTCCGAACAATCAGATTTCAACTGTAGAAGGTATGACACGCGAGAAGATAATAAGTACGCACATGAACAAATTAATTTAAAAAGTTCACAAAATAAGATCATGGCCTTGAAAAATGTAAAGTCGAATATCAAAATAAAGAAAACTCAAAACAATTAAATCCCATGTTAACACAGTTGTTTGAAATAATTTGGAAACTATCACCAGATCACTTATGTGATTATGGAAAACATCCAGAGAAGACAGGGTACGTACAATACATGATTTGATTAGTTACCAAGATGATATGCTGATAGTGATTTAAATTTGTTAATTTAGCTTATTATTTCAGTGCCCCGTTCTTGATGTAGGAAGCAAGAATAACACCAAGAAGGTGCTACTTCTGAGCATCATGATTCCAATCGTAGTAATTGTTGTGATGCTGCTAATAACCTTGTGCATTTACTTCTGGAAGAAGAGAGTAACGAAACTTACCCTCAGTAAGCATAGAGCTAATAAGCCAGGTACAACATCGTCGACCATTCTAAATTTGAACTTTGAAGCTTAAGGCATGGTAGTTTCATTCATCACGGGTTCACTTAGAATTAAGTTCCTTTTCTAGGCATCACTAATATGGAGGACATCTCAAATGATGACTTGCGACTACTAGATCTGTCCACTTTAAAAGTTGCAACAGATAACTTCTCGGAAGCAAATAAGCTCGGAGAAGGTGGATTTGGTTCAGTCTACAAGGTAATTACTTGTGTAATTAACGTTCATTCCTGTTGTCCATATACCTTGAAACTATGGTAATTTATCTTTTTCGTTCGAGTTTAATATCACATTAAGCAAATTCAAGGGCTTTGTAATCTATGTAAAATTTGTTACGTTCTACAGGGAAAACTTGCAGATGGACAAGAGATAGCTGTAAAGAGACTTTCCGCAACCTCAACACAAGGAGTAGACGAGTTGAAAAATGAATTTATGTTGGTTGCTAAACTTCAGCACAGAAACCTTGTCAAACTCCTCGGTGGTTGCTTAGAAGAACAAGAGAAGTTGCTTGTTTATGAATATGTGCCTAATGGAAGTTTGGACAAACTTTTGTTCGGTATTTCTCTTCCTGAACAATTTCATCTCACAAGATCTAGATTGCTTTCTTCCACCGGATTCCTAGTAAAGTTAGACATATTCAATTACGTTTGTATGTTACAGATCCTGTCAAATGCAAACTAAACTGGGGACAAAGGTTTAATATCATAGGAGGAATTGCACGAGGTCTATTCTACCTACACGAAGAATCCCACCTAAATGTTATACATCGAGACCTGAAAGCTAGCAACATCCTGTTAGATACAGACATGACCGCAAAAATTTCAGATTTTGGTTTGGCAAGGCTATTTTCTGGAGATGAAACACGGGGCATTACAAGTAGAGTGGTTGGAACTTTGTAAGTTTCAGTTGTTTTCATTGCTTTACTTGGCTACTAATGCCACCAAAACTTTGGTCCCATACTCATGAAAACTATCCTTTCATATTTTGCAGTGGTTACATGGCACCGGAGTATGCACTGCACGGACATTTCTCTACCAAAGTCGATGTTTTCAGCTATGGAGTGCTTTCTTTGGAGATGGTCACTGGAAAAATGTGTAGCAGATTTTATGACCATGAGCGTGCCGAAGACTTCCTGAGCTATGTGAGTGTGCTCTTAATTCTTCTTAGCTAATTATTTATATGCAACTTATTTACAATCCATGAAAAGGAAAATTTTAGGGGGGAAAAGACAGTACCAAAGTTCAATATTTTTGGTTTGTGATTTACTCGCACCCAAGGATCAATTGCAACTTATCTTGAAACTAGCTGACTTGCATTAATTTGATGGTTTCAGGTGTGGGAGTATTGGAGCAAAGGTTCAATATTAGAGATTGTAGACCCATCTTTGGAAACTTTTTCGAAGAACGAGATACTGAGATGCATCCACATAGCTTTATTGTGTGTTCAAGAAGTTCCAGATGAAAGACCTTCGATGTCATCGGTAGTTGTCATGCTCCATAGTCCCTCGGTGCCCCTGAATACTCCTACGCAACCTAGGTTCGCCCAAGGGATGATTAGTTCTAATATGTTACCAAAGCCAACAGATGTGGGTTCTAGTGATGAGTTTGCGAGGATGCCATTACCAGTTTCAGTAAATGATGTTTCCATTACAGAAATGCAACCACGGTAGATACAAACAGATGCAAATAAGTTCTTCACATCTTAGATGATTTTGTGAATGACCTCTTCATGTAGTAATTCATCATGATCCTTATCACGGTTATCATTATCATCGTCGATGCATTCCTTGTAATAGGCGGGTCAACTACGGAATCTAAAAATAACTATAGAAGGTTGTATGAAAACAATTAATATTGCAATTTATATTAATTATCTGGTATTGTTCCCTGATGACTCCACTAGAGATGGATATCCCTGCGAAAAAATAAGACTTATCTGTTTCTGAGACAATAGGTAATCATTTCACTTTGTTTAATCACCAAGTGAAACCACAAGAGCAAGCTAGATGAACCACTAGAGGGCTTTCTACTAAAGAAGGTCAAAATTTCACTGATGCAACCCACATTGCAAAAGGTACAAAAATAAAACACACGTTAAAACCAAGAAAAAATTACATGGCATGCATATGCAAAGACTATTCATAATAATGATAACATACAAGTCCTAAAGCAGAAAGGAGGTGATAAGATTTTACCAAATGGATTAAACTGTCCAAGGTGGTGTGGATATTGCCAAAATTAAAACTAGTTCTATCATTGAATCATGACCCATCAGGTAAAGAATACGTTCAACATGCTTGCTAGAACAATTGTGTGTACGTATATTTCGAGTTTGTCTATTTCCCCTCACTGAAGATATTAAAGGTGCAAGGTGGGGGGAGAAAAGAAAATGCTTGTCCACGAATATATCTGTATCTGTTAGGATAAGGATATAGTTACTAAATATTTATATCCAATAGGATAAGATTATGGATACGCATATTTAGTGAAATTTCTAGATCTGCGTAAGAAATATTCGAATAAATATTGATCATACAATTGTAATTGTTTTGATGATTAGATCTTTAAACTTAAGGTTAATTTTGATGATCCAGATATCTAACATTAGCTATTCGTATACAACAAACATATTAATGGACTCTCTTGCAGCGTACGGCCTTTTTTTGTCAATATTTATTGCTTTTCTCATCTCTGTATGTATCCACACATATTTTCTCTTACTTGATCCATGTATATATTTGACTTTGGCGAACATAGATATGAGTTCTCCTTGTTGCGCGCGGCGGAAGCCAAACAAACACCAAACTTACGTGCTTCGAGAAATCAAATCAAACAAACAAACGTCGAGAGAAGGCCAAACAAACCAAATTAATACCACAAACACAAACAAACGATTTTAACGTGGTTCGTCAAGTTGCCTACGTCCACGGGGCAAGAAGAGGATGGGGTTTTCACTAATAGAGAAGAACATTACAAATTGAGATTACAAATCACTCGAAGGAACCAACTAATCTCACCACAAAGCTCTTAATCTCTCCAAATAAAACCCTAAACAAATAGCTCAGAAAATACATCTTTTCTCTGCTCCAAATATCCCTTAAACAAGCCTTAACCAAAGCCCCAAGAAACCCTAATTCGTATGTTGGTATTTATACCAAACACAAATACCAAACAGAACAGGAAACCAAAAATAGCCCAAACCCGATCCGCGGTCGACCGCCGAACCCATCGCGGTCGACCGGACAGAAGACAAAAACATAGAATCCATTTACAGGGTCCCGAGGTCGACCATCGCGCCACACGCGGTCGACCGCCAAAAGTCCAAAGACTTCCCTGTGTTCGTGCATGTTCGCGGTCGACCGCAGCGCCACTCGCGGTCGACCGTGCAACACCCAAACTGTTTCCTGCTTCCAAAACTTGTTCTGATCCAAATTCTGTCGCCGTTTCTACAATTCTCCAACTCGGCGAAGTTTCTTCCAAAACTGAGCCGACACCAGCTAAACCAAATGTCTCACTTGTTGCGTCTAGTATGAAGTGAAACAAAATCACGAGAACGGACTCAATCCACAACAAGTCGAGAACCCAAATGACAATGCGAACAAACTCTAAAATATCGGTATCTACTCACCAAATCGGCTGCATCATAAATGACTGCCTACGTATCCTCTTGCCCAAGGAATCAAGCCTTCACGTAGTTCACCCAAACGGTCTCCAAAGGCCCTCAATCAAATAGAAAAGTTTACAACTCTTCCCCAACATCACCAACGAATCTGCAACTGATAGCTCTCCCAATGGTCCCAAAGTAAAACAAACCAAATACCTCCACCTGAGGTGAACCAATGGCCATATTCAAACCCAAACTATGTCCACCAGCTGCACTCGATTCAACCAACTCATCATCTGCATCCAAATCCAAATGATCCCCAATCTGTGTCACCTCAGCTGGAATATCAAATAATGCAGTATGATCTGGAGTATGTAGAGTAATCTCCACCCAACGTGGAGTAGCATCACTCTCCACCCGCTACGATGTCCCAACGACCTGATCAACACTCTCCACCTGCTGAGAGTCAAATGTGACATACTTGCTCAGAATATAATTAGAAGCTCCCAACTGATAACCAAACGAGCCTTTGAATCCCAAACGTGAAATCGGATCAAATCTCACATCCTCGATGTGACCGAATGCTGGACAATCAAATATCCGACGTTAATCAAAATCTAAAGCAGCTCCACCAGATCTAAAATCTCCAAACGCAGCAGTCTACAACTTATGACTAAGATGACCCAAATATGTCGAAGCTCCAAAACCAAAACCAATGCTCAACAACTAACACCGATCCCCCTCCAGTAAGGAACGACCCATCAAAACAGTCATCTCATCTCGTCGCCCCAATGTTTCCTCGCCAATGAAGTGTCTCAAACTGCCATGAGCTCGGCACAAATGCAAGAAACAACCCCTACTAAAGCTAGAACGACGGATTACCTTTCTGCCAATATACTTCTTCCAATTGTTGTTGACTTCTAGGACTTCACACCAACGGGACCTGGTTGTAACCCACCAATGTCTAGAACAATCCCTAACTGCGGAAACCAAATACCGATTACCTCCCAATGATGCCTCCTTGGCAGGCCCCCAAATGCCTGAATGGACACCACCTAAAAGACCCCTCAATCGATGGATAAAAGTGCCAAACTCCACCTCGGTCTTTTTGCTCATACCAATGTGCTCAAAGGACTTCAATTTGCAGGTCAAAGAACTCTTCAACAAACTATGCACGGCATAATCAATCAAATATCCCAGCCTCAACAAATACCAAAGTCTAGCCAAATCCAAAGAAGTCATCAGCTCTCTATCAAACACTGTGCTCCTAATCAAATAATACAATTTTTTTCTCCTGACGCCCTTCATCACAATCATGGACCCCAATGTGACTTTCAAACGTGCATCCACCAAGGTCACCCTATAGCCTGTTACCTCCAAAACTTCAAGTGAAATGATGTTCTTCTTCAACTGAGGAACGAACCTCACTCCATCCAACTCCCGAATTACTCCGTCACTCATCCTAATCCGAACGGTACCGATACTACCAATAGGGCATTCATAATCATTACCCATGAGCACGACATCCCCTCTTTCCAACTCCTGAAACCTGGAGAACCAATCTCTCCTAGGACAAATGTGGTATGTAGCACCCGAATCCAACATCCACTCTGTAGAGTCGGCAACACAAACTGACAATAGTGCAGATAACGAGTAGCCAGAAGAATCCAAATCTGAATTGTCGCCCCTAGCCTTGGCAACATTCACCTCTGAATCTTGAATAGCTTTCCCTTTATTCTTCCCGGCTCGATCAACCAACTTTGGGCATTCGGCTTTCCAATGTCCATCTTCTTTACAAAAGGCATACTGATTCTTACGAATTCCATGTTGTGCCCTTCTAGACTGTGACCTCCTACCACGGTTTGGACTCTTTGCTCTTGCGACCAATGCCCCCGCTACCGGCTCAACTAAAGTCTCATTATCCTTCTTTCGAAGCTGATAATTCACAAGTACAGCGGTGACCTCACTATACGAAAGAGATGCATTCACATTAATAAGAGTAAGAACGAAGGTTTCATATTCATCATCGGGTAAGGAACTCAATAATAACAACGTCTTATCTTCATCTTCAATCGTCACATCTACATTCGCCAAATCCGCAAGAAGCTTCGTGTAGTGGTTCATGTGATCACTAATGGAGGTCCCCTTCTTCAATTGGAAGTGATAAAACCTTCTCTTCAAATGTAAGCAGTTCTCTACACTCTTGGTCAAATACTTGCGCTCTAGGATCTCCCAAATCTTCTTAGCCGAAGTATCATTGATCACATCATATTTCAAATCTTGGGTCAAACAAGATCTAATCACAACACACGCCGTTCTATTCATCTTCTTCCAAACCTTCTCCTCAATGTCGTCCAGTTTCCCGTCCAACTCCAATGTATCCTTCAAATTTTGCGCGTTGAGCGCATCCAAGACTTCGCATCGCCAAAGTCCAAAATTATTTGTGCCATTAAACTTCTCCACATCTATCTTCATAGAGTGGATATTCAAACTTTGGACGGTCTTCACGCCAGAAGTACCCTCCACAACTCCTTCTTTCTCGACCATATTTCTCAAAGCACCAACAAAACAATACAGAACGAATGAAGAATAGATCCAAACTGAAAAGATAGATTTTTACCTCCAACTGAAGCCCTAACAAGAGCCTCCGAAATATCCCACCCCCACACGACGGAAACGAGATCCACAAATAGTAAAAATCCCACCTTTATCACCAAACGAAGCCCTAGACGAACTTCCAAAGCAATCTACTCCTCCAAATAGCCCAAGCGTAGCCCGAGCTCTGATACCACTTGTTGCGCGTGACGGAAGCCAAACAAACACTAAACTTACGTGCTTCGAGAAATCAAATCAAACAAACAAACGCCGAGAGAAGGCCAAACAAACCAAATTAATGCCACAAACACAAACAAACGATTTTAACGTGGTTTGGCAAGTTACCTACGTCCACGGGGGCAAGAAGGGGATGGGGTTTTCACTAATAGAGAAGAACATTACAAATTGAGATTACAAATCACTCGAAGGAACCAACTAATCTACCCACAAAGCTCTTAATCTCTCCAAATAAAACTCTAAACAAATAGGTCAGAAAATACCTCTTTTCTGTGCTCCAAATATCCCTTTAACAAGCCTTAACCAAAGCCCCAAGAAACCCTAATTCGTATGTTGGTATTTATATCAAACACAAATCCCAAACAGAACAGGAAACCAAAAACAGCCCAAACCCGACTCGCGGTCGACCGCCAAACCCATCACGGTCAACCGGACAGAAGACAGAAACATAGAATCCATTTACAGGGTCCCGAGGTCGACCGCCGCGCCACACGCGGTTGACCGCCAAAAGTCCAGAGACTTCCCTGTGTTCGTGCATGTTCGCGGTCGACCACAGCGCCACTCGCGGTCGACCGTGCAGCACCCAAACTGTTTCCTGCGTCCAAAACCTGTTCTGATCCAAATTCTTTCGCCGTTTCTACACTCCTCGTCAAGACATATCTATACTCGTATCTAGGTCCGTAATTGGCAAATAGACACAAATATGGTATGTATCGTATCCAAAACGTCTGCGCAAACGTGAGATTTGATAAAGAAGACAGAGCCACATTACCTGTGCATTTTATAATATATTCCTGATTCAGTGAGGTGATAAATTATATATTCACAAAGCCCTTCCGGTAACATGACCACATTGATAAGGTCCTTGCAACTAGCAACATCTGGAGATGAGAAGTAATGCTCTAACTAAAAGAAGAAACACAACAGGAAGATTCAATTAATGTGGAAAACCAATACGCTTCTAAGACTCATATATAGAAGCTGATGTGACAATTGAGGTTTCATAGTGACCACAAAGTATTTGGCTTGATACGCCAGTGTGACAGTTGAGGTTATTAAGGATGTGATCCAGGTGGAACTCTAGGTGGCAGTCTCTTGCCGCTCATCCTCAATAACGCAAATGTGAGGAATTCTCCTGGAAAATTCTCAAGTGACGCTCACATGCTATTTTTGGAACACTTCAACGCTTATTTTTTGATAAACTATTGTTAAACCTATCAAAATCCCATTGTAAACCTTCCTTAATTCTATCAAAATAACATGAGAACTTTTATTGATAATTACACATAACCACCTGGATATTTTTATTCCAATAAATCTCTCGGGAAAAAATTCAAATTTAATTCTTCTAGTCAGCAACATCAAGTCTAACAAGTCACATGGTGAGCTTGTAAAAAAATGACGTTCATTCTTAGCACCAAAAAATATACTCTTTTATTAAAAATGACAAAAGAATAAATTTTTTGGGACCAAGAGATTATTTTCTTTTTTCTTATTTATCATAAGCTTGTTACATGACATGACATGTTAGAATTGACTGTGTTAATTTGGGGATTACATAAGAAATTTTCAAGTCCGGATTTAGAGGAATGAAAAACTTTACAGGCTATGTACTACCCCTAAAGTTTAGGAGGTTCGATGGAATAAGAAAAGTTTAGGGGAGTTTAGTGCAACACCCATAAAGTTCAGGGGGACTAGAAATAAAACTAAACAGTTTTACTTTTCGTAGTCGGTACCCCAGTCCCATCAGCTGAAGCAAGGTTGAGGACCGAGAGGCAACCGAGATGAGGTGGAGAGAGAGAGATAGCAATCGCCTAACATTAACGGACCAAGAAAGGCATGCATCTCCTCCGAAGCGCGTGTCTCCTCTACCTCTCGTCCCTTCTGCTCCTCCTCCCTCCTCCTCCTCCAAGCAGCGCTGCCGCCAACCTTGTCAACCAGTACTGCGGAAGCAGTAACTACACCAAGAACAGCACCTTCGAAGCCAACCTCGGCCACCTCCTTTCTTCCCTCTCCAACTCCTCCACCAACTCCACCTTCGCAACTCTCACCGAAGGATCCGTCCCGGACATCGCCTACGGCCTCTTCCTCTGCCGAGGCGACATCAGCCCCTCCGAGTGCCGCAACTGCGTCAAGACATCCGCTGTCGACGTACCACAAATCTGCCCTTCCTCCTACCAGGTCACCCTCTGGTATGAAATCTGCGAACTCCGCTACTCCAGCTTGTCTTTCTTTGGGACGCCCGAAAACGATATACTCGTCCCCTACCCCCCCGCCGGCCCGGGGGCAAGCGACCCTGACACGTTTGCCGATTATGCGACGGCTCTGATGGGCAATCTGTCCGCTCGGGCCGCACAAAATCCTGCGGTCCTGTTCGCTACGGGTGAGATATCGTACGGAGGCGATGATCAGACGGTGATATACGGGCTGACGCAGTGCACGCGGGATCTCTCCGGGGACATGTGTAGTCGGTGCTTGGGGGAACTACTTTCCAACTTTAATGCCTCGAGCACTGCTGGAGGAAGTCTTGGAAGGAGCTGCGGTTTTAGGTATGGTACCCACAAATTCTTCGAAGGGGAGCCGGTTGTTTCCATCGCCGTGCCATCCCCGCCCTCCCTCTCCTCCTCCTCCTCCGTCTGCTCCAACGGGAGAAGATCGTAAAAGAGGTATAGTAAGAAGCCCCAATTGGTTTTTTAGTATTTTTTTTTTTCTGTGCTGAAACTCGTGGCCTAGCTTTTCGCGTACGTATCTGCACTCGTAGGACATTCAAATACGACGATACACGCATGTGCTTCTTTGAATAATCACCTTTTGACAGTTGGCTTTACCTGGCCTGTTCCGTGAGGGGCTGTTTGGTTGTTGTTGGTAAAGTTGTGTTTTTATGACACAACTTGGAAAGTTGTTGTCCACCTCATCAATTTCACTTTTATATTTTTCTTTGTTTGTTTTTGATTCCATTGGAATCATAAAACACTTGTTTGGTTTGCAAAATGAAACTTTAGTTGCTTGTTTGGAAAGTGTAAAAAGTGGTCCCTACTCAAATGATCATATTGGTTAGAATTATTTTTTATTATTTTTTCCTAACTTCAATGTTAGCTTTCACCTAAAATCATGTCTTTTTTTTTTCATGAAATCACTTTACAAGCCACATCAGCATATGAAATCACTTTACACTATTTTCACAACTACAAACAAACAATTGAAAGTGATGAAAGCTGACATTGGGACCCACTTTTTTACACTTTACATCCTTTTACATGGTAAAAACATACAACCAAACAGCCCCTCAATTGTGATGAGGTCCAGTTTACTTCCATTAGAGATCAAGGTGAAAATGTATCTTAATATCACTGTTTCAGAGTGGAAAAATCAGAGAAGAATTAACTAAAAAGGGAGGAAATAGGTGGGGTGACCTCCTTCTCTTGAAAGGGAATGGTCATAAACAGAAGACACGATCGGGGATATTGAATTGTGTCAAGCTAACTTTAATTAATATTCAAGCTAACTCAGGTTGAGAACTGATGTGATAGTATGCCAGCATAGGTCTGATGAGAGGAGACTTGGGCAGAAGATGACCACACAAATTTGAAAAGAGAATTTGTAATTCGATATATAGTTGCAGGCTATAACTCCTGATCGTTCATACTAGCTGGAGGTGGAAAATACAATGATTAATCTATTCTGGCCAGTGATCCCCAAAATAGCCATTCCAGGGGGAAAACTATTCATATGATATCATAATAAATAAGGTTTCGTTTGGATACCATAAGGTCAGTCTGACAAACGGAGCAAAACTGGGCCAGAACCAGTCCTGACCTAGTTTTGTGATAAACTAGTTTTGTTTTGGACCATACCCCTCCTGGTTCAAAACAAAACTAGTTTAGTAACGCTACTTGGGCACAAAAAATAGGGTCAGATCTAGCTCAGAATTTTGACAAACAAGAAACAACACATAATTGTGCCAGGTTCAGTCGTGGCCCAATTTTACAAAGTTGCCAAACACTCCCACAGTGTTTTCTTTGTTGTGTTTTTGTGAAAAAACACCATGTTGTTTTGTTGTCTCTTTATAGTGTTTTCAAAAGAACAAATTTTTGATTTAAACCCATTTCAACTTTTTATTTTACAAACCGACCAACTTTTTTTTTTATTTTAGCGGAATCGACCCACTTCTCGGCCACGTCAGCAGCGTGGCCGAGAAGCGGGTCGATTTTTTTTTAATCTCATCACTAAATAGTCGGGGTTGCCAACCCCAACTATTTTTTCTACTGAAAAAATAGTCGGGGTTGGCAACCCCGACTATTTAGTGACGGGATTAAAAAAAATCGACCCGCTTCTCGGCCACGTTGCTGACGTGGCTGAGAAGTGGGTCGATTCCGCTAAATAAAAAGGGAGTCGGTCGGTTTGTAAAATAAAAAGGTGGAATGGGTTTAAATCAAAAAATTCTTCTTT